TGGTTTTCTTTAAGGCTCTGGTTTGAATTTCTTACAAAACTTTTTCAATTTTTGTCGAAGGAGTACCAGTATTTAGCATGATTTAAAAATGTGTTTTAATTAACATTACCTTATTTTTGTTAAAACTTGTCATGAACTCATTTAGACCCAGTGTCAGAATGCATATTGGTAGTCATTATTTCATTAAATAAAAGATGAAAATTAAATTACTAATCTTTATATGTTTACAATACTTCCACCAGACATTTTTGTTTTTTTTAATAGAGTTTTTTAAGTATCAGATCAATAATAACAAAGGTTAGTCAAGTTAGCGGTTCATAAGATTTTCAATTATGTTGCGTTGAATAAAATAATATTTAAATACAAGTTAATATTTAATTCAATTTTTCGAAAATTACGATGATTACTATTAATTCTTAAAACAATTTTAAAACAAAGTTTAATCTCATTATTATTGCGGCAAACTTATAATTGATTTTAGACTCATTTTATATTTTATTCATAAAATTAATAAGATAATTATTTAGAAACTAAAAATATAGACTTTTTATTAAATTAGTCAAGCGTAAAATTGTTAATTTAATATAGTGTTTCTTTAAGGATAAGAAATTCATTTTTTCCTTTTAATTTGTTGAGATTTTCATATTTTTTTATTATTAAATTAAACGAGTTACTGTCCTTAATGAAACAACTACGGCATGAACGCGTGTATGCTAACTGACTTATGCGAAGGGGGTTTTTTTAAGTCTGTGCACCCATTGCGGTCTTTGTACGGTGTACAGGGTGTTCTAGTGTCGTACTAACCATTAATAATTTACATTTACAATGCAGTTTTGAATGGCGAGGATTTGATTCATGTCAAACACGTTTCTGATTGTTCCAAGTCGTCTTTTTTTTCATCTTCTTTATGTAACGATTCGTTTACACGCATTTAAAATTACTGAATACATCCGAAAAAGCATAAAAAGGGAAACTAAAGCGTGGGTGGTACAATATGCCCAGTGATGGCCGGATGTGATTTATTGTTGATATTGATTTTTGTATTACACGACAGTGTACCGCGGTAGGTACACAGGCAAGTTCAGAAGGCCGCTATACCGTCGGTCGGTGTTAATTGGCTTTGATTTTACAACATAATACCATAAGGTCCACGCATTCTGGGCAACAGCGGACCCGTTTGTTATCGAATTAAACGCATAATAAAACTTAATATATTTGGCAACGGGTAGAATGTAGCTATAACACCGTCCGTTGCCCACAAAATCAGGTCGTCATAACCTCTCGGTCAACTTATCGTTCGTTGACGTGCCAAACGCACAACCACACACAAGCATAATGCCAATGGTTTATACTTAAGACCCGAAAAAACAAACAAGCGTTATACGAAGGTAGTCTTTGTTGTTTACTCAACAGTTGTAATACTGTACTCCAAATTGGCCTACCGTTAAATAAAGTTAATTTAGTTGCATGTATTGTGTTTGTTTTCACGGCTCGATGACCGTCCGACTTTGCCTAATAAACATAATACACTATTAACTTGTAAATTATGCCTCTGCAATCAATATTTGTATTGTAGCGATAGTCTATTCTACATTGTACTTGGGTTGCTCCGTTTCTCCAATATTCATTACCCTTATACCGGTTAGACTTAGCTTGGGTTATCTTTCTCAGTAACAGAACGACACCATAAAAAATATAAACTGCATCAATTGTGTTCTTAAATTGTACAAATCAAGAAAATGTCCATTACACTATTAATCTTGTGGCAACCTATGTCAATTACAATAGACAATAAAAAAAAAATGTTTATAAAAACTAAAACCGTGCAGCTAACGTCAAAAAATATAACAAAGTATAACCTACTGTTATGATTCATGGAAATCAAAGACGCTATAATTATGAAGTCGATTTGAATTCCCTTCCCTTCTTCTTGCCGGAACATTGCTTTAACTGTCTGCCAATTACAGAATCCATATACAATACTTACCTTTTCACAAAACGATATTTTTTGCTAGAGTTCCGGCGTACCAGTCATAACTCATCCTGTCCCCCGTAACCACAACCGTTGCGGTCGTTGACATCTATTCGAAAATCCCTTACACGCCTCGAGATATCATCAATTTCTTGACCCTTCCCTTGTCCAACTATTTTACTTTTCCTTTCCCTTACCCTTTTACTCCCTCCCTAACGGCCGCCTTCTCCATTTGCGATATTAACTCTTTTCATCATAACTTCCCTGATAAGGTAAAGTTGTGATTTTTTATACATGTTTTTTTTTTTTATCTGACTTGTGTAACATAAAATAGTATAGTGTTGTTAATACTTTGACTGCCTTTAAGTGCAATTATTGTGGAAGAAGAAATCGCATGGCGCAGTCGTCTATCAAATTATTATAGCTTTGTTGTCTGAAATATATTTAGGAATAGGCTTTATGGTCCACATAACTATATTTCCTAAGTGTAAAAAAAAAAATTTACCTTACAATCTTATAGGGTATCACGAATGGTGGCTCCTCTACACAAGCTAATAATGTTCTTTTCTCTTAATAAATGTAATACTTATTGTAAAAAATAAATAAACAGATTGTTGTAATAAGTGTTAAATACAAAATTAAAAAAATCTTAAATTCCTCAATTATATTATAAAAACGTAGAAAAAAATATTCTTATATCTGTTCATATCTTCTGTGATTTTTTTTTTTAATTAATTGGGTTATTTATTAAGGATTTATAATTTTTTTTTATACCAACCATAATCTAAACACATCCCATAAGTAGTTGAATACAATTTATATTGTAATTGTTTTTTAAGTCATCACATAATACTATAATACACAAATTACTATCAATAATAGTGATACAATTAACGTCTATCGCTTTACTTTTTTCTGTTAGTTACACGACGGTTCATTCGGCTAATGGCTGTTGTTGAGATCTAAAACCGTAGTCGACAATTTACTGGTGTCGTTGGTTTTTATTACAGTGAGACAGAGCAACTAATGGCTAACCGAAAAAAGTCACTCAAAACTCAAAAGTCAAAACCATACCGCCGAAGAGTGCTAAGGAAATAACAGTACCTGATACATATTATACACAATACACATGTTTGGTGTTTAGTACTTTTTTGAAAAGAAAATGTCTTTTTATCAAACAAAGCATCGTCGTTTCACTCAAGGGGACACAATAAATATACTGGACCGAAAAGAAACAACCATGCATACTTTGAATTCATAATAACGACACAAAATGTAAACAAAAAAACAATTATAACGAAACTTTAATAGACAAATAAAAGCCACTACAGCTTTATTGTACAATTCTACCAGGGTGAAAAGACAATTTGTTCTTAAATGGTATTTGGTTGAGTGAGAAATACGAAAATATGAAAATAAAATTATTTTGATTTATATTCTTCACACGTTAAGTTAAACCATAGAAGTGCAACGTCGACAATAGTGGACACACTATGTATAACGGGCATTGTTAATAGTTGTATGAATACTGTAAAATCTTCTCTCTAAAAGGGAATAGGGAAAGGGTTGGGACTGGATGGAGTACATAAAATAAGTCCTCGACGAGAATACAGATAAAATTCAAACGCTTATGCTTTTGCTTGATAGACATATTTATATTTTAATATCTCATAAATATGAAAATCGTACGAGGCTATGTAAAACGTAAGAACTATAAATGTATATATTAAAAAAGCAGTACGAAAAAAGACAGTTTTCAATAAAAAATAGATAAAGATTTGCCTTTTAAATGTTCACACTAAATAATGCATGAAACTAATGTTTCCAGACCTTTACGCTTCTAAACTCTTCTCCGCTTCCTGGGCCCTAGATACTGAACTGGGCTAAGCAATACACAAAAACAGTGGGTACTCAATCTTCGGGAAAAATTAACTACTTAAATATAAATACATATGATGGTAAATAATAGTCTTTTGTTTGTTTATTTCACCTTGTTAATTATACACATTAATAAACTAAAGTTAAAACCATTTTTTTACTATTTATTTTTTATGCCACAACGTAATTGGGGCCTGTAATAGTTATTAGATTATGTAGATGTATTACAATACTTTTTTATTAACTATACAAGGTTAAGTAGGTTAGGTTTGTAATAATTTATTATATCGGTTTTGACTACAATGTTTCAAACAAATTATTTATTAATTCAATTATCAAAAATAGATTTAACGTACGAGGTACAAAATATATTATTCTTGAGGGTAAATTTAGAGGTTATCTTTTAAAAGTCAAATATTTACCAGCATATTTGATTAACCTTTTAAGGCCAAATGGTTCAACGAAAATAATGACTTGTCGATAACCAACTCTGAATACATATTTCTCGAGTTATAAAAGCGTGTAAAGGTAAAGGTCTATAAGTAAACTGAGCCTTAAAGTATTTATTCAAAACTGGTAATCGACTAGACAATATTTTTATTTTATTCTCATCATTAAATAAAAAAAACTAAAATTTGAAATAACATTATTCTAAAATCATTTAACAAAAACGGTTATTTTAAAAAATATTACTGTTTTCACCGTATGTGTATAAAATTAATTTTGGTTTTTAGATGTCAAGTCATAATAACGATGAACCTAAAAACAAACAAAAATAGTAGGTTTTCTAAATAGAGGTCTTGAGAAATGAACACAGTGTTGGTAGTTGTAGGGAAATTATAATTTTTCGTTTATTTCGGCTGAACTGTCCATTCGAAAAACCCGGAAAATGGCGACGATTTTGTGGTTGGCGAAGGACATTTAATAAATGAACAGTGTAGCCATGAATCACGGAAAATGTTTTTAAAAAAAACGAAATATCTGCGTTCTGGCATCACTGCCTCATATCAGCAGCCGTAATCAGCCGTCGGGAAAACTGTAGCGGGAAATCGATGACGGTAATTCCAGATAGAGACCCCACAGCCCTCTACAACATATCCACGTTAATACACTATTGTATTAACTAGCTAAATCTATGGTCGGTACTCACCTTTGCGCAGGGTAAAGTTGCACGGATGGTCGAACAAAAAGTTGCGAAACGAGTTGCATTCTCGATCGATTTTTGGCTCCCGACACAGACACGTAGGCTTGAAGAACGGGAACGCTTGGAGTGTTTTCAAGGCGGCTCGGCACTTGATTACGGTGGTCGTCGAACACGAAACTGCGGCAAAAAGAAAAATACATAGTTAAAAAAAAATTGAGTAGAACAGAGAAACAGAGACACGATGAGAGACGCGAAGGGGAAAAAAGAAAAATCGCCTGTAATGAAAGCCAACGCACGCACACGGGTAGTCGCACACGATGAAAACATTATTATTATTATAAATGTGTACATGTATGAGTATGAAAATGTAGTTTTTTTTTTATAGGCACATATATTATATTTATATCAAACCACTTTTCTTCGAGTGGGGTTGTCGTACCGCGCTCGAGGGCATAAATCCGAACATAAAGGAAACGCGGCGGAGATACGCGCAGATTGTAGATTAACCATCGCGTTGTCTTTTAGTTACAAAGCCAATCGATATTTTTGCAGAAAAACAAATGTTTGCTGGAGCAATCATTTTCGATTATTTTCGAAAATTACACATTCAAATTCCTAGTAAAGCATACTGAGACAGACTGCAAAACCAACCAAGATGAGGTTGACTACAAAGAAGAAGGTCAATTTTAGCATTTGTTTTGTCTTATTTAAGCTGTAAAAACGAAACTTTTAATACAATTATATTAAAACCCAACACAGGCCACGGCAAAAATACAGGATGATCAATTTAACGTAAGACACTCATTTTCTCTTAAAATAATTACAATTTGATAGTTCTCCTTTTTCGGGACACATTGGGTTATGTTATTTTACAATATTAGGAATTTTTCTATTTTTTATTTTTTCCAGAGTTTTATCAACTTTTAAAACTTAAATAGTAACGAATATATTTCATCAACTTTTTTAATTAAGAATAATTTTCTGAAAATGTTGACTGATTGATGACCACTTTCAGATAATTGCTTTTAAAATAATAAAAAAAAAAAAATAAAGCGACAATAAATGCAAGCAGGTACAAATAATACTATACTGCAATATAATACAACAAAATAATACTATACTATACTGCCCCTTTTCCCCTGTCCTAAATTTAACTTTTAATAATTTTAAAAGTTATTATCCTAAACTGGTTATAGACGAGACAAAATGTTCAGTAAATTATTCTTAATTTAAAAAGTTAAGTAAATACATACGTTATAATTTAAGTTTTAAAAGTTCATAAAGTTCTGGAAAATACCAAATAGTTAATAATTATTATAAAAATAATTAATATTAATGTTGTCTAATACTGCAAAATAACATAAAGAAAATGTCTCCAAAAAGTAAAACATTAAAAGTACAATTATTTTAAGATAAAAAGATTGACTGGTATAGCCAGTACATGGTTTGTATTATAATGGTTTAGACTGTACTAGTTACATACTATAATTTATAATCTGTATATTATACAGATTCGTAGTGACTAAATCACTTTTAAACTAATTAATCACCCCCCCTCCCTCACCTTGAACCAATATGCTAATTTATAATTGTACTTGATTTATACTGTACTGGCTTTTTTTTTTTTGACGTTATTCATTGCTATTTTAGGCCAAAACAACCCATATGCAAATAGCGAACAATATATTATTATAATGTTATGTATGAGTGGTGAGGTCTACAAACAGAAACACTTTCAGCAAACGCGCATGTTATACTACACAGCAAAAGCTTTGCGTTGTGTATATAAAAATAATTTACATAAGAGCAATTAAAAAAAAAATGTTTATATTTATATTGCAATTTATTTTCACAGCCAGAATTGTCATAAGTCATAACCGTCAAATAATACACAGCATGTTCTCCTAACTCAATTGTATAGTTATTGTCATTTGGCTACTAGTAACACTGTAGCAAATCTATTTTAACACATACATCTTTGTCGTTTTTTTTAAATTTATATAGATACCTAGTACTTTTCATGCTAAAAACTAATCTGCAAAAATGTCGCTGGAACTTAGTTTTAGAAGTCATAGAATTCTTTTAACACTTAAGGAGTGATTTACAGGAAAACAAATTATACCAGATTCGGATTTAACAAAGAAAGTTTTTATAAAACGAGTATTATTCCAAAAAAATTACAAACTTTTGTTTTACAGTAAAATGTAATGCCCATGTGAGTCAAAGTGTACAGGTCAAATGGATCTAAATGTTTAAACTATCGAACAACCGCCGCGCCGGTGTGTTATTTTTTCTGCTTTTAATATTTAATGTTTTAAGATGAGAAGTAACATATAACATATAACGGCCCCTGAAGTATCTAGCTTACTAAGTACACGTGTAGGCTGTAAACCTATTGTACAACTTCAGAACACCGCCGGAGCTTACGAAATATTATAATATAATAGTATTATGTTCTAAGGTAAGCATATTACTGTACTATGTTTGTAATATAGGAATAGTTTTATTTTATCGCCCCCGGCAATGATATAGATGTATTGAGACAGGGGCGCGGGCAAATTGAACAATATGTTTACATCAGGGCGTGTCAAGATTAGGCGGCCACGTCAACGTTATTGATGTTTTTGCACTAAAAATAATATATTTCGGTCAATTTAACGTTACAGCCAATAGAAAATCTTTGAGTACGACTGTCAGAACCAACGGTTTTATTAAATATATTCACAGCAGCAAAATACTAAACAGACAAAATTAAAAGAAAAACTAATGAGACATTTGAAGCCTAGGCTCGTTGTTTGGTTCGTGGAATAAGACATCGCCCGCTTTTCAAAACAAAATTAAATTCAAGGTCTTCATAAACAGTAGTCGAGATAACTAACAATAAGTATATTTTATCTACAAAGGCATAATTATTTATTAATCCAATTAAAATTTAATGGATGTAACTCAAAACTTTTGAAATTCTATGAAGATTTGTCTATGAAGCGTTTTATAATATGCTTTATAGAGATGGACTACACCTGAGAAAACTAATAATACTACTAAAGGCAAACGCTAATAACGTGTAAGCTAGTTGAACGATCCATTATTACACTTCACACGAAATCAAAACTACCATGACACCAATCGTCATTGATTAACCGTGTCTGAGTATATTGTAAACCAGAAATTAATACACCTACAGTATACCGCTCAATGCTGTATCCACGCAACTCCATCTCGAAACCTGGTTTTTTGAAAACCGTTGTTTACTGGAATTTTATCCTCCGAGACAATATCAGCATGCCTATCTACGTATAATAGTGACAGTTACATAATTAGTGCAGTCTGAAAGTTTAAAAATAATACATTATTGTTACTGCAACGCGCTAATGGTCTAGTGCGTACCCAAAGCGTAAGACCGCCAAAAAAATACAACTACCATAAATATGCCTTCCCTGGTGCATATAATATATATTATACTCGGCTATACCACTTAGAGGGAGAGAGAGCCATTACACCCACATAATATGGATATAATTTGCCCGGGGTGTATATTTCGCTTTATTTTCGATATAATCTCAAGCCATAATATTATATTTAGTGTGTGTTAACACACATGCCAACATAATATTCGGGTTGTATTTTTTATAAGGGCGACGTGCGTCCCGGTATAAAGTACCTGTACATACTCGCATTAGTGTGGCGAGCAAAAAACAAAAATGATTGATATCACAACAAAGGGTGGTAAGAGGAAAGGGTAGAGAGATTAAACGGCGAGAGTGTTAAACCGTGGAAAACGCCAGCGGTTAAATGACATTTATATATATATATATATAATACTATACATATTATAGCCGATGGCTTAGGGTCTTATTTTATTTTTTGAGAGAGAGAGAGAGAGACATAAAACAAAGGATTTTTTTGGCCTGTTCTCGCAACAATAGAGAAAACCAATGAAAAACTTTCGAACTGTGGTTTAAGATAATTAAGTTTTTTTCGGTAAACCGGTAACACGATAATTTTTCTCTTTCTCATCGACAAACAAAAAAAAAAATAATAATAAAAATGATTAACCGTTTCAAACCCTTTAAATACTTAATCATAATAATAAAATGTCTCGGGTAAACCTATCCGTGTAGCGTAGTTAATTTTTCATTTTTAATATCAAAGAATATATTTTTTCATAATTGTTATAGGTATTGTCATTTGTAGCATTTAATTTCCAAAAGGCAAGAGAATTAAACAAATACAATTGTCTACTCTTTAAGTAAAAACACTCGGATCATACACACGTCTTTTATAGCTTCGTCCCTTGTCATAATTAACATAATTGTTTATTGGACCGATCGTCAAAGACGTACATGGTTATTTGTAATAATCAAATAAAATACTAATTGTAAGCATAATCCCCAAAAGTATAAATATTTCATCATTGTTTAAGATGGACAGTATTATTGTACACTCTTTGGGATGAAGTCAGTATTTAAGTACAGATTACAGTTTTAGTTAGTTTAATGTAATCTGTGATTGAAGTAATAGTTCTATTTACTATCACAACCTTCCCGGTATTGACTTTGCAGTCAGTTATATAAAAAATAGTTTCTTTCTCTAATTTTTCATCAAGACAACACTGAACAAGAAGTAATACAAAGTAGCTCGACCGCTAAATGGATTTATTTTATTGTTGCCTCGCTAAACGTAGGTGAATTTGTATTAAATTGTGGTTTTGAAAAAAATAAATGTCTGTCTAATTTTCGCAAAATGATCAACGCCTGACTATTGATCCACATGGCCAAGGAATAGGGCTAGGGCTTCCGATTTTTATTTTTATCAACAACATTATACTAAGCAGTTTGGTTCGAGATAAATGCGGGATAGTGGTTACAGTATTAGAGTGTACCTTATAATATGTACAACACATGTACATTATGTATATTGGGAATGTACAAGGTTACAATTCAAACGAAGACAACACGCACATACATACATATTATGTAGTACATTTCTACATAATATAAGAAGTTCCTTTGGCAATTACAAAATATGTGTATATAACAATAATAGAGCTGGTAGCATATGATTATATTGACACGAGTAATCATCAATATTCAGCGTTTTCTCCCCTTGTTGACGTCCACCGGTCGTAAGTCATCGCTTGCTGGAGAGCCGTCTTTTGAATAATTACGGTGTTTTTCCACGCAAAATTGGTAGACCCTTTTTGACATCACGCAAAAAAGCATAAAACTACCGAGGCTTTTTTTTCTGAATGATATATTTGATAGCTGGTGACGCCGCCATAGAAGTTGCAACGTATATTGTACACCTACATAATATTCATATTTAATTCATAATTCGGTTTTTATTTTTATTATGATTAATTGCCGAAAAAGGTTTTCCGCTCCACGTCCGCGCCCGAATAATAATAATAGAACGTTTGTCTTGTTCGCTTGTTCCCGGCACCGTTTGGCTCCGACCACTTAAGCGCCGGGCTCTTGCATTGAACCTTTTTTCTTTTAAGCAATTTACTGCTCTCCGCCTTTTCCCTTTGCCGGTCGACGAATGTCGTCCGCGGCCCATCGTAATTTATTCCCGCACACTTACCGCACATTAAAGTTAGGTATAATAATATGGTCCTACAGGATCGGCTTTGTGCTTCCCGGTTGGGTAGGTACGTCCGCCAATAACATCAAACGCCATAATTACTCACCACTTGCAATTAACTTTCAACAGGTCCATCACAAACACACAAACTTATGAGGGGACGTTGAAGCCTGTAAAAATATTTCAGAGATCCTTACAACCTTGTTGCCATTACGGCTTGGCACAACTAAGGATTTTCCGGGTTAGTCCATGGCAACACGTTATCTGGTATTGAGTTGCCCACAATCTTTAATACCAATTACCGTTGCCCATTGGCCGATATTAAATACTCGTCAAATGTGGTTATGTAAACCGCATTGTTGGCGTACAAATAAAATCCTATATTTACAGAGCCTAGAATTTGTAGAGAACAAAACGTCCTTATCAAAATTGTCATGTACACAATTAGGTCATAATGTTACTTAAACTCGAGTATCTTGTATATATATAAACATAATAATAAAATATACACGAAATAATGCAATTTACTTTAGTAAGTTTTGTAAACGCGCACTCACCTATTTCGTTGCCGCATAAGCTTGGTATGAGATTGATGATTTTGTAACAGGACGGATCCTCGTTGCACAATGATCTGGCCAAAAGACAGTTTAGCGTTTCCTTGGAAGCTTTTTCCTCTGTAACAAAAAAAAAATAGTAAGCCGTGTCAGTATAATTGATCACCGATAGTTAATTAGTGGTATAAAAACGGAAAAAACAAATCACTCATATACCTTTGTACATATAAAGCGGTAATCAAGCACAAGATCGCGATTAGAACGCCAAACTTGCATCCAATCAAAATATCCAACACAAATATAAAATATATTATACAGTTTGTAACCGATATATTATGTATAAGTTATAATAAATAGATAAATAAACACTTATGTTCGTGTCATATATTTGATAGCTTGAATTCCTGTTTGGTGTTAAGTAAGTTTTATTATTGGAATTTGGAATTACAACAATAGCTCACGTATAAATCAAGTTACAGCTCATAACATGTACCTATTTATGTGGATGTGAACCCTTGACCATGGTCAGCTGCTGCTGGGTTCAGTATGTTACTGGCGAAGATTAAATATAAATATACACACAGGTCGGTCGGTGGATCAAGTTATTTATTTCTGTTTGGTCTGATAAGATACATTGCTCTAAATATATAATAATATTATTATTCAGCAAATAAAACTCAATACAAAATCCTTTTGGGTTAGATCAAAATCTGATAGCGGTCTAGTCGTAACGCTACTAGGTACACTCCTGGCCTACGATATTTATACAGTTTTACGGGCAATAAAAAATAATGTGTTACGACGCCATTTTTCTTAAAGGTTAGAATACTACATACAAAGCAAAGGCTTTCATGCGCTCGCCTTGTCCCTTTCGACCCAAGCCATCGTATACTCCTCTTCCCCGGCAACTCCGACATTGCGGTATTTGCCGACAACCGCGTTTCAAAGTCACAGGACTTTCAGTTGTCGTTAAGATTAATGTGTCCATAAAAACACCGAGAAATCTCACAAAACGCCACCCAAGGGCATACATACACAAATACAAACTCATAATTTACAAAAAAACCGACGATGAGCATAATACTAACAATTTTATAAAATATTAAATCCTTCTTTTAGTCTTGGTGTTTCACATTGTACTTGCTTTTATCAATGATGTAGAACATTTTTTTTATTAAATTATAGGAACAAAAATATTATGAGTCTCTTGTCGTATTTCGTCTTTTTTCCGAAGGAAGTGTTTAGGTTATTCTATAATAATATCGAACCATCTTTATATTGAAACATTCCTTTATGATACGCGCCTTGGCCCCTTGTTCGTTTATTAGACAATTAAGTTTCCATTACTGTGAAGTTATTTTCGTAAAATCCCTTATTCCCTTTCTTAGCCTATATTTTTTATCGAGCTGAAATGATAACGTAAAATATTTCATTAACTTTTTAAAATATCAAGCATATTAATCCTCTAAAAATGTTGAATAGACGATGACCGTATTGGAATATAACTATTGATAAAACTAGATATAGATAATTAGATATTTTCTCTCACAATAATCAAATTGTAGGAGCAGTAGAGCGATAGAATCCCATTTGTATGGGATATGTGATGGAAAATAAACATTACAATTAATTACTTTTAAAGGAGGAAAATGTTGTTTTTCAGGTGATCGATTTGCGTTCAACTCGGCCTATATTATCTCTGTTGTAAGTCCGGATATAATTTCTGTGCGTGCGTGTGTATTTCTTGTGTGAGCGATACACAGCGGACTAAATGTATGGAAATCCAATGAATAATGACAATGCGGTTTTAGAGTACAAGCTGTACAAAAGCGTTAAAGCCCGGACGTTTGGTTGCAGAGTATAGAATTTACACGGGTCAAAATATCTATACACACAATAATAACAATATAATGGTGTGAAATATAATTATGTAATTGAGTGACTGCCGTTGTTCGCCTCGCCCACAACTCTGACCGGATTTACCGCTGGTGTATATCTGTACAAGCGCCGTTAGAGTAATACATTACCTCGTGTAAAACTTGGTTGTGGAGAAGTGTGTGGGGAAGGGGGAAGTCTTCTATTATACGGTATATGTGTACAGCATAGGTGTATGGTACGCGAGTATTGAGTGTAAAGTGCACGCTGTATATGAGTATAGTATGACATATATATATATATATATATATATATAAATTGGACCCAGGTTGTTGGATCGACGCCAAACCTCCCCTTCGTCGCCGGAGCTGAGTCGATGCCAGTGTGTATATATCTAACTGCGACTGAGCTTCAAGTATAATAAGTATAAGGATACACCTGCCGGGAATGGAGGTCAACCCGGAGGATAAGTTACAGAATGATCCGGGCGAGCTATTTGTCAACACCCTATCTACATAGTTAAACCAAACGCGGTAGTATGTTTTAACGACAATAATTAGAATAAAAACCTTAGTTGTGGCTAATAGGTCAGTATGAACCGGGAGAGTAATGTTTAACTATACAAATACAATATGTAGCGCCTGTGAGCTAGGTAATATAATATAATGGTTTATGCAGAATGTGTCTATCAATATTCGAATAAAACCTTTGTTCCCGTCTAGTCACAACGGTTATTTTCATAGAGGACAACAAAAAGTATAGCAGTGTAAATTATTTTTTCCATTCAACTTGAAAAAAAATTTTTTATATAAATTAAATGTCAATTTATTAATAATAATATTGTAAAATCAACACGAGAACTAATAAAAATATAATTTCATTGAATATTCTCTATTAGAATAGAGTAAGTGCATAACTATATCACAGATTATTTTTCAACGAACAATTTATATAAAATCCGGATTTTTAGTATTTCAAAAGTCCAAATTCTCAAACATTTTAAAAAAGGTTATTTTTGTTTCAAAATGTTTTTTGTTTATCCTATTTCGAAAAAAAATACTTTTAAATAACCAAAAATACAATACATATTTACAAATTCTGATAAGGATAAAATCTCCTAAGATTATTTAAAAATTACTAGCAATAATAATTAACCTTCATGCGCTCGCGCCTCCTAAAGTTACACTGCCGCTCGCGAGGACGGCAATTTGGCCGTCCTTATTTTTTTATCATTTTCGTGAGTTATTCTTTATTTTAGGTGGATGTTTCGAAATATTTAGAGTCAATTACCTCTAACACAACATTGGAACATAAAAAATGTTGACCAAAAATGTTTATTTAAAAAATAATAGAAATATCCTTCATCCGCTCGCATGGACGGCAAATTGGCTGTCCTTTTAAATTTTCGAGAACAATTTTCTTCAGAGCACCGAGGGAGTGGTAAAAGGTTCTTGTAATTTCTATTGACACTTGCCTTTCCTATATGCCTCCTTTTTCATAATATAAATCCAGATCGTAAGAATAAAAAATACAGGCAAAAATTCTCGTTTTTGCTCGTGTGGACGGTAAGTTGGCCGTCATACTGACACTACTGAGTTTGTGACTATACTGAACTGCTGGGGTGGACTGATTTGACCAAATTCGATCATATTCTATCGGAGAGATGTATAACTAGAGAACACATACCCTTCTCACTGCTTCCTTGGCACTTTGGACAATAATATTTGCGAAAATTTATAAGGACGGCCAATTTGCCGTCACTTCGCCATTTACCCCTACATATTACATATATATATATATATATATATATATATATATATATATATATATATATATATATATATATATATATATATATATATACAATATACAAATCCAAATAGCGATTATCTGATATCTACCTATGATGTCGGTTTAATATACGTCTGTGCTTTCAATAAACATTAATACTTAATAGATTTCGAAACTAAAGTCAACGGCGTTACAGGTATGTTTGAACCCAAGAAAGGGAAAACCTCAATGATGAATTATTATTATAGTCAGCCCGAAACAGGCGGGTTTTAAACCGGCAAAACACATAAATGCTTATTAGCAACCAGGTCAGTACGAATAATAATAATTATCAGCCTTTTGCGCAGATGTGGTAAGGCCAAGATTATAATTAGAAGAGGCGCAAATACTTGCTTTATAATTAACACAATATACAGAATAGTAATTGGATAGCCTACATGCTGTAATTGAACTGTAAATAATTAACAATCATGTAGTAGTATTCCGAAAACCGTGGACAAAAGTACAGCTGTTGAAGCCTGTAGTTGTGTAATATCATGAGTATAAATTGTACAATTTATATTCAGTAGTAATATGTAAGACCTATAACCGTGCCGTTATTTAAACCGGAATTAAATGTCTATATTAAACGAATATCAAAAAAAAAATTGTCATCTAACGGTCCCTCAATACCGTCTAAACTTTTCCAATGGATGTAATAAACTTAGACTTTCAGTAAAAAGCACAATATCACACAGTCTATAGTAAAAATGGCATTTTTCATGAACGGTGAAAACTATATTATTATGTAAACGAGGAACACCAGAGCGTGATGAAACTTATAACATAATATGAGATATGATGTGAAGTGTTTCTCAGATACCTCTTGGAAAAAAAACACTCAAATATATTTTAATTAAAAAATGTATATTTTGACATCGTTTTGTTTAAAAATCACCCAAAAAAAATATATACTTACAAATATTGCATTGAAAAGACAGTGTCTAAGAGTTGTTTTTATTGTACTTGGATAAAAAATTTAATATCTTTTTTATCTCAATACCTTTAGCTAATTATTGTTTTTCCTCCCCAAGTTACTGAGTTGCAGGTTTCCCTAAATTGCGTCAACTTATAAACATAACTTTCGACCGGCAACTGGCAAGTCAATCTAAAATGGGTAACTCACATGAAAACGACACCCTGTAGTAAGGTTAGATTACAAAATTGTTTTGAAAATATAAAGTAAACAAATAAACTAAAAAAAAACACTAAGATTATTTCCTATCCACCTAAACTCTGAATTTACTAATTCCAATTTTTATGTACATACGAAATAATATTTATTAGGCCAGCTATAGTTAGTTTTAGTTATGCATTAGTCACTAAAAACGTTGCACATGAATAAACGCATGTTTTTTGGCTTACAGTAATAAAATTAACTCCTTAACACTTGTCCTTAATTACCCATCTCTAAA